CTTCCATCTCTAATGTAGTACATCATCTACCGCCCACGAAACACGGTGGAAACAGGTGCGCCAGAGCATTGAGACAACTGGACATTATCAGCTAACCGAAACCGAGCTAATTTATGGAGCCAAACTGGCTTGGCGCAATTCTTCACGTTGCATTGGTCGTATACAATGGTCGAAGTTGCAGGTGGGTGATAAGAAATTTGAATTATGTGAGCGCTTCTAAAGTTATTCGGGAAAAATATTACGATTGCCAATTTAATCCGAAAAGTGTCTTTAAGTTTCTGCACCAAACCTACGCACTCCCTTGATTTATCAGGATTTCAATGATTCATGACCTCTGCTTTGCATGCAAACCCTAAAATCAACTTTCATCATCCACAAAATATGATAGCAATTCATCAAGGCATATTAGGCTTAAATGTGTGCAATTCAAAAAAATTATATGGGTGAAATAAACGCTGGAGTTGTCAGCCGAATTTGTCAGAGCACAAATCACAGACAAATATATGTGCCTTTGTCTGGGCCACATTATTCTAGATTTATGCGTGTTTTCCGAGCAAATGACAAATTTCGAAGACGAGAAGCAGACTCTGAAAGAGAATAGGCCAAACAAAGCTAAAATTTGAAATGCAAATCCTCGTAAATTTTAATTTACCCGAAAAAGAAATTTCGCCCAAGGCAGAGATTTATTCACATGCACCCGAATATACACACACTCCTATACAAATTATAATGATCAGTAGTTGGCATAGCAAAATGGCTGCCTTTGGCTCTGTGTGTGTGCTTAGTAATGTGTGAACTGATTTGCATTTCCGCCTGAATGATTTGCGTGTGTGTTCGCTGAGAACTTGAGAGGGCAAATCTGACTTCCAAAGACAAGTAGTGAATGGCGAAACTAAAGGCACCTTCGCTGTATGACATGTCAAATAAATTATATATCAAATTTATAAATATATTTGCGTGTGACTGTCATTTTCATTTGCCTTAAAATAGCTAGAACTGTCTGCTTATGCTGCATTTCGGTACTCAGGCTTACTTTAAATTTCATTTGTTTAGCAGAAAATTTATTGAAACCATATAAAGTAATAATAAAGTAACAAAAAGTAAATAATTAATATTATGAAAAGCATCAACTTCTGGTTTATATTTCCCGAAAAAAGTTCACCTGTTTATCTCTGGGCAAACAGAAACATATTGTTTTCCTTTATATGTTTTCCTGCATTGTGTTCATAATGCAAAGCCCTATAAACATTTCCGTTGAGCTCTGACTTTTCATTAAATTACAAAAAAAGTTTACAAAAGTTATCCAATACCACTCAGACACGATAAAAAAGTGGAAAACTTTGCTTTAAATTAAATGAAGTATGTGTGGCGTAAGCACTTAAAAAGGGTTCAGTTTGGACCGCTTTACAAACTTAATTAGGAAACTCGTTTTACATTGGAACACCCCTTACAAAAAAACATAACGAAACCCAACACAGCAGAAAATCGAATGAAAAGGGCTTTCCTTGGACAGAAATGAATTTCAGTTTCGAGTGGCTTTAACACAGAAATCCCATAAAGCCAAATGTAAGGACTTTACTTTGGCCTAGACCCTAAAGAGGGTTAGCCACAAAAACAGGTGTGAAAAAAACAATTGTAAGCGCCCAGATAACACAAGCGAAAATGTAGGAAGAGTGTGACAGTTAAACAGAAATATTGCAAAAAATTCATTGAAGCGAAATAATTGAAAAAGGGTTTCGGTGTATGAACAAGTTGCGAACAACTCTCTTATACGTCGACCCATGCCAGAAACAAAACAAATATAGAAGTTACATAGAAATTTATGTCACATTTATCATCCGCCCCGTTGGACAACGCAACAAAAACTGTTGAACAGCTGGAGGGCTTGGGGGCTGGCACCTAAAACTCATGAAAAAACAATTGTTTACACTTTTAGTTTTGTGTCTGCCAATTCTGTTGATTTTTTTCTAGCTGCTGCAAGTATTTGAATATTTTAGGTAATTTTTGCTCTGCGGGAATTGCGCGTTCTCCCCGGCTGGCATGAATTTTCTATATGCATGTGCTTCTACAGTGAAAAGTGATTCGTTCTTGTCAAGCTGATATTTCTATAATTTATATGCTACGTTTTGCAGGTCTTTGACTGTCGGTATGTGACAACAACAAGTGGCATGTTTGAAGCAATTTGCAACCACATTAAATATGCAACAAATAAAGGAAACCTGAGGTAATTGAATTTGTCTGTTAAGTGTTGGGTAAAATCAAATATTTAGACCTGGTTTTCCCCAAAAATGAATAATAATAACAAGGATTATAAAAGAAAATTAAAGTATTAAAGCGAAACAAAATTCTTCTTAGATTAAATGGATCTATATTATTTCGTTTGAACAATTAACACAGTCTTTTTTGTAAATGCAATTTTATATTTTCGTGTGAAGCTTAATTGCCAGCTTATGGTAATTAGAAAGAACATACCATTTTCGATGCCGGGTAATCGTTTAAAGCTTCGAAATGGAAGCTGTGCATAATTTTTAATAATTCCCCATGCTCTTTGGCACACAAAATTTCAAATTTTCAAATAATCTGCCCGCTACGTGGCAGGCGTCAGCGGAATGTTTGCGAAAAGTGATTGCCAAATTATGTTTTTGCCTTGCTAATTGGCTGAATTGAGAGGTTGGCTGCCAATTTGATTCTATGAATATTTCAAGCCCCATCCTTTCTACTACCCAATTTGATTGGGTTGGTGTTGCACTTTTGACTTTGTACATTAGGGCGCAAAACGCTTTTGGCGGTTTGCAAAAGTTGCATTGAACTTTGTCGAACTTTAATGTTTGGTGCACACAAATTGTTTTGGGTTTCCTTGCTAAATAAATTGATTTTGTATTTTTATCATGGCAGATCGGCTATTACGATATTTCCCCAACGCACAGATGCCAAGCATGATTATCGCATTTGGAATAACCAATTGATATCTTATGCCGGCTACAAACAGGCTGATGGAAAAATCATCGGCGATCCCATGAATGTTGAGTTCACTGAGGTGAGTAAATGGAGAACCAGAAATCCCTATAAAATGGACAAAATATTGACTTTAAATGTGGGGTAAACAAAAATAATTTATCATGGACTTGTACATTCGTCTTGACTTTTCATTGCCTATTTATTTAAACGAAAAATTACGGAATATTTACACAACGATCAAAACGGTCCTTATTTATTCACGTGGTTCTGCGTAATCCAGCTATCAATTTACATATCATACATGCATAAATGCATGCCTTTTTCCTCAGCCATCACAATATTTACACGCATCAATTGCTTTTGCCTTTAAATCTGACCCTTCCACCCTTTGGCCCGTCCAATTCCCCGACCTTTTGTCGAGCCAACAAGTTGCTAAAGCCCCAGAGCCCAGAATCCAGTGCCCACAACAACGGCAAGTTCGCTCTATAACTCGTTGTAATAAATCTCTTTTTAAATACGCAAAAACCGAACAAACAACAAAGCTGTCAATAAATACGAGCACAAATACGGTAGCAGATGTTGCCGGAGAGTGGGTGGAGCACGGAACATGTGGTGTGGTACGGGCTAGGGTTCGTCAGTTTGGCAAGTCCCCCCGCCATCCGCACAATGATGTATTTGCATATAAAACCAAGCCCCAAAGTATCCCCATTTATTTTTACACATGTCACTTTTATATCCGCCACTGCCTGCTGGCCTTATGCTGATTTTCGATTCCGATTCACATTTGTTTGATGTCCAATCCCATCTCTATCCATCAGGTCTGCACCAAGCTGGGCTGGAAGGGCAAGGGCAGCGAGTGGGACATATTGCCGGTGGTGGTCTCGGCCAATGGTCACGATCCGGACTACTTTGATTACCCGCCCGAATTGATATTGGAAGTGCCGCTGACCCATCCCAAGTGAGTAGACAGACTTCTTTATGTGGGAGCTATAACTCTAGGTTTTATCCAAGTTTTTATAAGAGAACTAGCACTATGATATACTCAAAATATTATTATCTGTCCTTTTAAAGGCTATAACTGAATATTTTATAACTTTGCCAGATATTGATCCAATAAAAATCCCAGTTTGTATAATAGAATTAAAGACAAGAGAGAACGCTATAGTCGGGTTGTTGTCCCGACTATCTAATACCCGTCACTCAGCTAAAGGGAGTGCGAACGCTGTGTCGGGTTGGTGTCCCGACTAATAATTGTAACTCAGCTAAAGGGAGTGCGAGGGAGATAGATATATAATTTTTGATTGCGTATAACTTTTTAATGAATCGTCCGATTTGAAAAATGTCTTCTACATTTCGATAGGTATAAATATACACAACAAAATTGCATTTATACTTTTCGGAAATCTTTAAAGATGTGGGCGCAGGACCCATTTTAAAATCGTTAGTGGGCGATTGTGGGCGTTAGAGGGGGCGTGGCGCTCGGCTAAAATAAACTTGCGCTGCGTAGGAAGCCCAAGAATATGCGTGGAAAATCTCAACCTTCTAGCTTTTGTAGTTTCTGAGATCTCAGCGTTCATACAGACGGACAGACGGACAGACAGACAGACGGACAGACGGACAGACGGACAGACGGACAGACGGACAGACGGACAGACGGACATGGCTAGATCGACTCGGCTAGTGACCCTGATCAAGAATATATATACTTTATGGGGTCGGAAACGCTTCCTTCTAGCTGTTACATACTTTTGCACGAATCTAGTATACCCTTTTACTCTACGAGTAACGGGTATAATAATAACACCACATTGTCTGCTTTACTCAAAACATTCTTATCAGGTATAATTCTTAAATTACTAATAACTCAATGATAAGCACTTTTGCCTAGACAGGCTTCCTCATGGGGGCTATAATTGAAAATTTTATAAGTGGCTTGAAAATAGTTGTTATAACCCAAATAAAGATATTTTATTACCTGGAACTCAAAGATCGAAGTTCATTGGAATAATATCGTTCTGAAATATTGCATTTAAACTTCTGAATTGGTATTTATGTGATGCATTTATTTATCATATTATCTAAGCCTCAAGAACAGTAGGTTAATAGTCGGCCACTCTGGCAAAGCCAATCCGTTCGTTGCCCTTATCGAACACCGTGTAGAACTTGCCAATGAACACATCGCCGAGAATCCAGAAGGTGATGTCGGACATATAGGTGAAGGCGGACATGCAGTAGGTGACACCGTTCTGCGTCACCTTGACGATGTAGTCCCTGGGTGCCAAAGTGAAGATAGTGCCGCCGATATTGAGGTTGATTTTGGGCAGGGATGAGACTCGGCCGCACCTAACGAACGCCTCTCCATCGCCATTATCCGAGGCGCCCAACTGGCGATTGATCTTGGTGTAGGCAGCCTGCGGGACCACGATTAGGGAGGTTCCGGTGTCGGCGATGGCCTGGCATCCGTTGCAGAGCACAATGCCATTGGTCTTGATCGTGTTCACCTTGAACTGCCAGTAGGCAGGAACCGAAACGGGAACGTAGGTGAGGCTGCCTCTGTAGAGGCTCGAGTCAATGCCCCCCAGGATGAGCTCTCCACCACGGGCCGCGGTGCCCTGCCGCTTGAGGTAGAAGGAGACGACGGGCTCATCGAGTAGGCCCTGGGAAATCATATTGTCCAACGGCGGAGTCACTCCATCCACGGCGATCGATTCGAAGGCGAATCCCATGATGCCCGCGAATGGAGCACCTACGAAGGTTGTTCCCGGCTCCCTGAGGGCTTCGCCGAATGTCTGATTCTGAACGGTGACACCCGCAACGGTCACACAATCCGTGGAAAGAAATCCCGACAGACTACCGGTTCCGTATTGCAGGTCGAAGTCCTCCCCATTTGCCACGTAGGTGCTGGAAGCTTCCGAGTCGTACTTGTTGTGCTTCTGGCATGCGGTATTCGACTTGGGGCACTTGGAACTCGGTACCCAAAGGTTGGACGATCCCGTGTCGAACAGGATGTTAAATCTCTGCTCCGGCGTTCCGATTCCGATCACACCGTAGTACTCGGCGTTCAGGGAATTGTGCAGGTTCTCGGTGGCGCCCGATGAACTGGAACTAGTGGTGGCGATCTCTTCCAAGAACGAGTACTTCCCCGCCAACAGGGTCTTCTCGGCCTTCACATTGCCGTGGGTCTTGGTGAAGTTCTTGTTCGCCTGGAGCTTCACGCGATTTAGCTTGGCAGCGGAACAACCGATACCGATCAGCACCAACAAAACTAACAACTGTCTCATGTCTGCGGATGAAATTTGACTGTGACTAGTTTTCAAATGGGTGCGGAATTTAAATACCATCGACGGCCAAACACTCCCATATTTTATGCCAGTCCAAAAATAGCGCCAAAACTTTCCGTTTCTGGAAGCCATTGACGTCCACGAGTTCTTCTGGCACACTTAAGCAGACACAAGAACAGAAACAACTCAAATTTTAGCAATAGAAGACCCAAATATTTGATTTTCTCCATAGGCATCGTAAATTTTATTCAGCTGTTTTGACAAGTTGTGTTTGACCAATAAAAAAAGAACGTAGGCTGGGCTAATTTTGAATTAAATGACTGTCGAATGTCATGTAAAGAATCTTGAGTAATCGTCGTAGCTGGAGTAATCAATACCATAGCTTGGGGGTTCTCTATAGTAGCTGGAGGGATACTCTCTTCGGGAGGTCGAGTTCTTTCTCAGTTTGGCAAATCCGATTCTCTCATTGCCCACATCGTACACCGAGTAGACTTTTCCCAGGAAAATATCTCCCAGAATCCACAGTAAAGACCCCTTCAAGTATGTAAAACCGGATAGGCACAGAGTTTGATTGTTGCTCTCCTCGACCTTGTAGATGTAATCCTTGGGGCTCAGTGTGTAGACAGAGCCTCCGATGTTCAGCTGCATATTTGGCAAGTTGCAGAGATTGCTGCAGTCCACGAAGGCCTCTCCTTCCCCGGAATCGGTGGCGTTCAACAGCCTATTGATCGTGTTGTAGGCCCGAAGGGGAACCACGATCAGGGAGGTTCCGGTATCGGCGATGGCCTGGCATCCATTGCAGAGCAGGGTGCCCTCGATCTTCGCCGAGTTGACCGTGAACTGCCAGTAGGCAGGCATCGAGACGGGAACGTAGTTGATGCATCCCCTGTAGATACTCCGATCGACTCCTCCCCAGATGACCTCTCCACCAAAATCCGAGGTTCCTTCGCGCCTCAGGTAGACGGAGAACACCGGCCGTTGGACCAATCCCTGCTGGACAATGTTGTCAAACGGCGTTGTTATGCCGCCGGATAGCGGTGCAAATGCCATTCCAATAATGCCATCGAAAATGGTGTCCACGAAGGCCGTTCCCGGTTCGGCGATGGCCTCGGCGAACGTCTGATTCCGGATCACCAAGCCGTCTATATCCACCGTGTCCGTGGAGAGGAATCCGGACAGACTGCCTGAGCCGTACTGAAGGGAGAAACCCCTTCCGTCCGCCACGTAGGAGCTGGACGCACTCGAGTTGTATTTGCTGTGCTCCTGGCAGGCTTCGTTGGTCGCCAGGCACTTGACACTGGGCACCCACAGGTCGGCGGATCCGGTGTCGAATAGGAGGTTGAAACACTGCCGTGGAGTTCCGATGCAAACTTCGATAGTGTATTCCAGGTTGAAGCCGTTCGCCAAAATCTGCGTGGTCTTCGAGGATTGTCTATTGGTCGGCAAATACTTGGCCGCGAGCACGATCTTCTCCGCCTTCACACTCGCTTGGGTCCTGTTCTGGTTGTTCTGTCGAGCAATGGGAGTCCTCTTCAGTTGGGCCATTGATGGCACTATGACCATCAGAACTATTGGAATAATAACATAGAAGCCCCGTTTCATGTCTGCGGTTTGACTTTGAATGTGACTTAATGAAAGGTGGGTTAGCAACTTAAATACTCAATGAATAAGGGGAACCTTTTGATTTAGTTATATCATATTTATGGTGTTCAAAACCTAGCTGTAGTTATATGATTTCTTTAAGCTCATAACTTCGGTTATGCCGCAAGTATAAGCATGAGCAGAAGTATCCGTAACAAAAAGATTAATGCAGGTACTTTACGTGAAAACGTGACTCTTGAATGAAAGCGGTAGTATTGACTCTACATTTCGTTCACCTAAATACTGCATTCAATTTTAAATAATTTCCTAACCGAATTTGGTCGAGTTCTTAGGGAAAGGAAAAATAGGTTTTTCTACTAAAACGCTTGTTGAATTTTAAGAATATGTTTACCGAAATAGCTAGTTTTGCAGTGCGTTTAGCATCGAAACAATGTCAAGCTTATGTCCGGCGCACATCAGCTGGCCGGGAGATTGGGTGTGTAGCCAAAGGATTTGCATCCACAATCGCGTCCTGTGGCCACTGGTTACTGGCCCACAATATCAACCGAGCTGGCCAAATAAAAGCAGCCACCATACATTTTTACGCTCCCGTTGCAGATTCGAATGGTTCTCGGAACTGGGACTGCGATGGTACGCCCTGCCCGCCGTTTCCAGCATGCTGTTCGATGTGGGCGGCATCCAGTTTACGGCCACCACATTCAGCGGTTGGTACATGTCGACGGAGATTGGCAGCCGGAATTTATGCGACACAAATCGCCGCAATATGTTGGAGGTAAGTTGGAGTAAAAAGACGTATGTATATAGTAATTTCAGTATTGATATCCGTCTCAGTCTCCACCACCCCCGCCATTGTCCTTGCCGTATGTCCTTGATGCCTTTGTCGCTGTATCGCGATGTGGCGCTTATTTCATTATAAGGCCGCATAATGTGCAGACCGAAGGAGGAAGCCCCGGTCCTTCCCGCCTTTATCATTCCTGGTGTCCTCGCATAAAGCGCTTTTTTCTGGCCCAGCATTCTTTTTACCCACCAGCAATGTGCCAACGGGAGGTTCTGGGCGGGTGCAGACTGGTTAACAGCACTTAAGAACGACGGCTCTTTAAGGCTTGAAAAATGTTGCCATGGGGAATTATTAAAGACTGCACAGTACTTTCGCATGAGATACACTTGATTATTACTTGCTTTTAAATGCATTAGCACTGCAGTTAAAATTCGATCGATCTCCGTAGCCTAATTAGTTTTCAGCAGCAGCACGAAAATGCCATTAGCACTTCTCTGGAAATCTGGCTATTTTATGTCAGCAAAATGCATCCATTATAGTTCCACCCTTCAGGTATTCAAATGTGTGCGAGGAATATGTTTTAAAAAGGGGAAAATAAAAATTATCTTCGAACTCTTTTGATTGGTAATAAATAGTAGAAGTGAAATATAATTAAAATTTTAATGTTGTTGTATACGGATTAATTAGTTGTACTAACCGTACGTATAAATTTTATTTTATTCAGTTGGTTGCAAATAAAGCTTTGAAATTCTACTTTATGGCAAGTCATATTAATATCATACAGTTCTTAGGTATTTCGTTTTTTAATTAATATTTATTATACAAGGAGCTCGTGCTTAATTCGAATTATTCGTGTATTTTATTCCAAGTGCACCTATAGTTTATACGGGTGCAATGGCACCCATTTTCCATTAAATTTGTGGTATTTGTCATCTTCAAAGTCATTCATTTGCCAGCGTCAACCCCAGTTTTGGCTCCACTCGTGACATTCGATGGCCTGTGGCTAAATTCATAATTGACATACGATGTGGCTTCTGGTGAGTGGCAAGTGGATAGTGGCAGTGGCTTCGGGCCACTTGTTGGGCCTTGGCTTAGAGCGACCACCGCAGTTGTTAGTAATTATTAAATTCTGGCCACAAAACCGAAAACTGTAATGGAAAATCGACTGCGTTATTCGATTAGACCCATTTGCATACTCATCCATTACCGATTACCCACCCTGGCACTAACGAAATTGATTTTTAACTCACCGCAGACGGTGGCGCTGAAAATGAATCTGGACACCCGGACACCCACGTCCCTGTGGAAGGACAAGGCCGTCGTGGAGATGAACATCGCCGTGCTGCACTCGTACCAGAGTCGCAACGTGACCATTGTGGATCACCACACCGCCAGCGAGAGCTTCATGAAGCATTTCGAGAACGAGTCCAAACTGAGGTGAGGCCCCAGATCGCCGATTATATCCACATCCGCTGTGTTTGTTTATCGCCGGCCTGAGTTTGCATTTATGACATTTCCCAGCCGCATGTTTATGGCTTAACGTGTTTTATTTGACTTCCCCAGCCAGACTTTTCCCCGGGAAAAGCGTGCGGAAAACTCTTTGCAGGTGCGAAAGTAAATTTATTGTTTCCAATTTGCTGTCGCCACCGTTTAGGTAAAGTGCTCGCGAGACACATAAATGCCGCACAATATGTCAAACTTTTTCGCTCCTCTGGGGAAAACGAGCAAGTTTCTTTTGTCTTTCGAGTCTAAAATAAATATGTTATTTTTGGTATTTTATTTGCGAAATGGTTACACCAGCTGACTACTTTGTACAGGATAAAGAGTTTTCCTGTTAAATATGTCCTAATTGTTTGGCATAAAATAACGTCGATGTTCGAAGTTTAAATTTCCGCAATATAATAACCAGAGGCTTTCCATTTGGAAATATGTTTTTGCCTATAATCAGTTGTCTAATTATGACCTAATGGCAGACAAAATTAATTCTATTTTAATTATAACTATTAATTTAATGTATCCCCAAGCGTATTAGCAACATGTTAGAAAATTTGTGTCCAATTATGCTGAACATGAAATGAATCCGAATTAGATCAGCTTGCACAGAATTATTTCTGGCAAAGTAAGCAGCAAATATTTATGTTGAAAGCCACAAACCTAAGGCAATTGTGGCCTATTTATGTTAGACTAAAAGAGTCAGCAAACCTTTAACCTTAACCTACTTTTGAAATGGCTTTAAATTGGGTATTTTAAAATCCCCATACCAACTTAAACCGTCTCCTTCTTGGAACACTAAATCAAAACCGTAAGCCACGTGTCTATTTTTATGGCAACATCAGGCAGGGCGGCCGCAATTAAGTCAGTTAATGGTAATCTCCCATTTGGGGCACTAAAAATACACTGGCCATATTTCAAATGCTGGGCGCAACTGAATCCAAAGGATTTCGCCACCCACTCGTCAATGATAGGCAATTACTTACCGGTGGAATCGTCTCTGTTTCTGTTTCGGTTTCTGTGCAGGAATGGGTGTCCCGCTGATTGGATTTGGATCGTGCCGCCTCTGTCGGGCTCCATCACGCCGGTGTTCCATCAGGAGATGGCGCTGTACTACCTGAAGCCCTCGTTTGAATACCAGGATCCCGCCTGGCGCACTCACGTCTGGAAGAAGGGCCGTGGCGAGAGCAAGGGCAAGAAGCCAAGACGTAAATTCAATTTTAAACAAATCGCTAGGTGAGTACTTACAGCAGCGCTTACCGTTAACGTGGCGACCTTTGGTGTGTCGTCCCGCCCCTCCCACATCCTTCCCCTCCTCCCCGGATGATGGCGCTGATGATGATGATGTTGATGCTCGCATCCTTGCCCGTGTAATTGTCCCCGTGTGCGGGTCGGTGCTCGGTCGTTTTGCGAGCGTGTCACACGACAGCATCAGCAGGGATTAGCTTTTAAGTAGATTACATGGATTGTGGTTTATTGCCACGGGGTTCCTGCTCCTCGGCTGCTCCTCCATCTGTTCCTCTGTTCCACAGTTATCAAGTCTGCCGGAAAATTTGGTACATTGCATCATGTCTGTTGTCCTCGTTATTGTTATTTTAAATGTTATTTGCCGGGAAACTGCTGCGCTGCCTCCTATCTGAGATCTCCCCCCTGATTTAGGAGGCGGATTGGGAACATATGTGCGGTTGAAGTTGATTGTTATGCAAATTTGACGTCCTTATTTGGTTCGAGGTGAAATTGAGACATTTATAAGCTAGTTTCCGCTTCCTTGAAGAAAAAGTTAAATTCTTTAGGGTTTATTACGAAAAGCAGAGTTGTTTAAGCACACAGAATGTAAACACTTAACGTCGGAAAATGTTTCATAAAGAGCAGTTAGAAATAATTCTAAAGGCCTAATTAACAAACACAAATATAGGAAAATATCAATAAAATATATTAATTTTAAATATATTAATGTCTTTGTAGGTTTTGAATTTATTTAACCAACTGCTAAATTAAAAGTACACTGTTTATTGGGCTTTACCTTTCGCTTGAAATACTCTTTAAAGATGGCAATGTTGTTGTGGCCAATATATACACTTTCTGCGCTTAATTAATTCAGGAATGGATCTGTGAACAAATGCGTTAACGAGGCAAAAACTATCAGTTTCCATAAACGCATGCAAATCTGTGGCAATTATTCGGCCAGCATTGGCTGAATTGCATTTAATCCTTACACCTATTCATGCATCAATCCATTAATCGAATGCTCAAATAAACAACTGCGGTGAGCCCTAACAAATAAAATCAATTACACAATTAAGCGAGAGGCAAAAAAATGGAAGCCTGAAAACTGCTGTTAAATAAAGCGTGCAGAATTATAATGATTATTTAACGACCGCACTTTAAATCACAGCATTTTAATAGCGCCATCCGCGCTGGCGTATTTTTCATGCTAATTAATTTTAATTTACTGCAATCAGTCCGATGAAGCCATGGCCATCAAGTAACTGCAAAATGGCTGGCACAAATTCATTAAAAAGTTATCAATTAAAAATGTTGCAATTGCACATGTACGAGTTTCCATTAAATCAAGCCTTTTTGAGGACGTAACTTTTTGTCAATGCTTAAATGACGGCTCCACTGCAAAATCATGCGTATTTACGTATTTATGAGGATATATGTATTCGCACATATATCCATGTTGGGATGACAGGCTGTAGACATAATTAAGTTTAATTGTTTCAGCACG